GTAAGTTGTATGGCCCGAGCTGCACCCAGCGTGTGTCACGGCGTGTCAATTTCCGGCTCAACACGTTGATGTCGCAGCATTCTGAAGCGATTTTTCTTCCTTCCACTTCCTGTTCGGTTCCATGACATGTTTGTGTGTGCCCTGCTGTGTGTGTGCGTGTATGTGAGTGTGTGTGTGTGTGGCAGGCGCGTAATCAGCAACGTCGCAGCTCAAAATACGCGCCCGTATGGCAAGCGCGGCACAGGAAGCCAAAGGATACACTGACGTGCCTTTTGCGCCACAGCCCCACACCCGGAGCAGATTGCGGATTGCGGATGCCATTCATTGGGTGGCAGCAGGTGCAGTTTAGAAAATGCCTGACAATGCCAGCAAATAAATGGAACACGTCGAGGGGGTCAGCCAGTCAACCAGCCAGCCAGTGAGCCAGTGAGTCGGTTCCTGCCAACGAACTGATGATGTTTACATGCTATGCAAATACAATTAATTCTACTTTGTGAACAATCTTTGTGCTGCAGCACCAAATGCTCGGGTTTGGCTGTCTGTCTGGCACAAACAGCTGATAGCATTGGCAACGGAATTGTTGACATTTCCGTATGTAGTCTACCAGCATACGGTGACAGCATTCAAATAGTCCGCTTTGTGGCATTGTGCGATTGCACTGGCCGTACGAAAAGTATTCCATTTGCCGTGCCACCTGTGCAGGTGACAAGCTGCTAAATCTGTGGTGCTGGCAAGTCAAAAGCGTGTGGCTCATATTATATGCAGGGAACTCAATTTCAAATCCTTGATATGTATTTGCATTGAAGACCCTGAGAGACGGACAGATTGTGAAGTTAGGGTATGGAAAACTTGAAAAGGAAACTTAAGTATTAAAAAAAAAACTATTCATATTATTTACGCGATTATTTGTAGAAATTATATAGAGACCATATTTACAAAATGAAGTTCCCATGGCCTTTAAATTTTACAGTTTTATTTATCCGGATGCATTGACCTGGATGAGTTTAACAACAATTTGCAAGACAAATTGCTCGAATTGAGTTGTATTACAATAGCTCATAAAATCATTTCAATAATTTATGATGCCTGCAATAAACATTCAAAAACTCTCTTAAATGCAGTTCATCAGGGAGCTACCAAACAGAGCCGAAAAGCAAGCCTCAACAACAATAAACAACCAAAAAACGAAAAAATAAAATAAAATAAATAAATTGAGCGGGGCAAAGAGCAAATACGCTTCAATGGGTCGTAGATATTTAAAATATTATAGTATTTAAGATACATAGTTAATTTATTTCTAAATAAATATTTACAATATTTTACTAAGCAATGCATAAAAACAGATTTCACAGTTATGAAAATTTTACTTATCCAGATTATTTGAACTTACTTGAGGAATAATGCAAAAATTATTAAAAATGTTGAATACAAGTAGATATAGTTATTTTCATGAGAGATATATTCCATTTATTTACTATGCCAAAAGCGTTAATATAATGCAAGCCAAGCTCGCTCAACTTGGAGGCGGGCTGAAGTCCATCCAGTCCATGCGGGCGTTACATGTGTGGCTTCCCAACTGTAGTACCCCATTGAGGAAGTGTGCAAGAGCAAGACAATTAAATTCAGCGCGGCGAGTGGTCAAATATGGGCGATAGCATTGGAGCAGCTTCAGTCGCGGCACTGATTGTCGTCGACCTGTCTGTTGCCGTGTCTTGCCCTCTCTGTCTCTGTCGGATTTTGGAATCGTTCTGTCTCTTTCGCTTGCGCTGCGGCCGTGTCATTGTGCATTTTATTTGATTCTGATTAAGGGAACTTTGCACTCGATGCAGCTGCAGACACGGCAGCAACAACTGGCAAAAAACATTGAATTGCGATTCATTGGCCAGATTACGTTGCCTTTTGTCTGTTTACATTTGCATTCGCAATGAAGGAAATTGTAAATGAAAGCTGCAGAAGACGCGCTCCAAAAAGCCGAACTGGGCAACGCGTCTATGTCTTGATTACGTTTGATTATTGAAATGCATGCGTTGTTTGAGCTCCAGACTTGAACTTGTGCCCCGTAGCTCAAGTACATTGATAGTCGGCACACGCCAAGGCAATTCGCCGTATGTAGCACTGGCCCAGCTATCTTGTCGGTGTGAATAATTGTGATAAAAGAGCAGATATTCACCGTATCAGATACGGCGTATTGCCTACCCCAAAGAGCAAACATTTCATCAAAATTAAATTTCAACCTGATTGCAAAAAAAAAAAAAAAAAAAAAAGCAACATAAGGAAGACGAAGAGCAGGAAATAAGCGCCACACCAATTGCATAGAGCTTGTGTAAGAAGAGAACTTATTTATGATTGCTATCAATAGTCAGCGAGTGAAGTGAATTTATTTCGGATTTCGACGCAACTATTTGCTCTTAGTATCCAATGAAATAGCATTTGCACTCAAGCACAAACTTTTGCTTCAGCACACTTTGAAGTAAGTTTGTAAGTGAATGATAAACAATAAGAGAGCGATTGTTTCAACTCAATGGTAGTTACAGCATCATCAATAGCACTTAATTGGAAGCTCATCGAAAAGACAGTAGCAAAACATAAAAATCAGATATCTGATGAACTGCTTCGCAGCAGCAATATCTAGTTATTATGTGACTGTATTGGGAATACTCCTAGTTTAGAAACTATCTATATAAAATATCTGTGAACAGATTTGTATATTTTACTTGAGAGCAAATGAAAATATTATGTAACTATCAATAAGTATCTTTTCAGCTTAAAGTTGATACAAATATTTACATAAAATAACAAAGCGGAATATTCCATTTAAATATGCATAAGTGCAAATGATATTAATATGCTTGCTGCTAAACAAAATGTCTAGATTTATGTCTAAGGACATTTTTTTTTCAACGAAAATTCTAAAATCATGCGCCTCGCTCTAAAGTTTCATAGGCACGGATTTTAAGATAGACAAAATAATAGATAAAATAATAAATTTTAAATGAAGACTTCTTCCTGTAATAATTTGAGGAATTTAAGCAAGCAAAAGTTATTGCATATAACAAGTAAGAAAGCTGTAGTCGAGACTACGAGGAACTGATATATCAATAATTTTTCGCATCCTTCTGCTCACATACGAAACACACATAAGCACGCAAGGGCTGCAGTGTGTGTTTACTACGGGAATGCCTCAGAAACTGTGGGCCATCTCTTCTGGTGAATGTGACACAAACAAAACTTAAAACTTCAGTTAGGGCAGCTGCATGACAAAAGCTGAATGCTACAAAACTCGGTGTAATGTACATCAATGCCAAAGACGGAGTAATATGACTTGTGGACAAAATGTATCCTCATTGCTCACGAAATAGGAAACATAACCATATGATTCACAAAAATATAAATGATCTTAATTTATATCTTCTAGCGAATTTATGGCTAAAGTTAATGCTCTGAGACTGCATGACAGAAGTTGAATGATATGACACTCGAAGGATGGTACATCTATGAAACTTGTGGAAATATTGATTAGAATTTGCTCGCTAAATAAAAGGCATAGCCTTATGAATGATTAAGACACTGTGCTCCACTCTTCTGTGAGTTAAAAAAACAAAACTTGAAACTTGAGTTAGGGCAGCTGCATGACAAAAGCTGAATGCTACAGGACTCTGTATAAGGTACATCAATGCCAAAGACTGAATAATATGAAGCTTGTGGGAAAATTTATTCTCATTGCTCACGAAATAGAAAACATAATCATATGATTCACACAAATATTAATACTTTTAGTTTCGATCGTCTAGCGAATTTATGGCAGAAGTTAAATGCTCTGAGACTGCATGACAGAAGCTGAATGATATGACACTCGACGGATGGTATATTTATTAAACTTAAATTTAACAAAAATCATGTAGAGAGGTAAACTCAACGACAATAACAATTTTAATACAAGTTCATATATCAATACTTTATTTATGCACCTAAGGTTTCACATTTGACGCAGTGCTTGTCAAACTGTGCTGAAGGTACATTACCTTCGCCTTGCTGTATGCAACATAAATATTTGTGGCATTAGTTAATCAAAACACATTGTTGGTACTTTTGCTCCTTTGTATAAGGTTTAGTTTTTATTGAATGATGTTCGTTCAACCGCCTTAGATACATTTAATTTGTTTGTATTGTATAATCTTTGTTGTCGAATTTTCTATATTTCAGCCATAAATTAATGAAGTGAAACATGCTATTGTTGTTGTTGTTCTGGTTGTTGGTTCTTACTGCTGTTCTAACATGATGTTGTATGTTTCGCTTTCAGGACTCAAGAAAATAATAAAAATGAGATTTTAACCACTTTGTTCTTATTTCCTTCAACTAATATTTGTTTGCTTATAAATGTAGGGTTATATGCTCTTTGTTGCATCTAAAAATGTTTGCGATTAACAACGATATGCAGAAATACACATATATATATATAAATATGTCAATATAGATAGTAGAAATTTGAAATAACACATAATAATAAATGAATCATAAACATATATATATATATATATATATATATATATATATATATATATATATATATATATATATATATATATATATATATATATATATATATATATGAATATATTGCGAATAGATAAATATGGGGTTACTTATGGCTCGCCTGTTTGCTTGGGCTGCTCTTGAACTCAACGGATGCATCAAGCGATAAACTCTGTATATATAGTAACTATAACAGTTATAGACTGCAAATTCGAGTGCCCTATGCACAGTGTACAGTTTAGCAACAATTTTCAACTACAGTTGGGAAATCAACATGCTAATAGTGTTCTCTGTTAATTGTTAATTAATCATTTCTGCCATTCTATAGCAATAACAATATTCTTTCATTGCGTATATATGTGTATATGTATATCGGCTTGTTCTGGGCCAATATAAATTATGTCATATTATTGTTTTCTTTCCTTCTTTTTTTTTTTGGTTAGTTTTTGGTATCGATTTTTTTAAATATATATATTTCTTTTTTATTTCGATTGTGTTTGTTTATTTGCGTCATTTTGTTCACTTAATAATTACAATCATAATCATAAATATAAAGTGTAATAATAATAATTATGAAAAACCACTTTTCTCATAGCGATTTTGTTTCTTTTTGTTTTTCTTTTGTATACAAACATTGCAAAATATTATTGAATAAGTAAAAACATAATAAACTCATGTGATTTCAATGCTAAAAATCTTTGATGTTGTTTGCTGGTGTTGTGTTTGCTTCACTTGCGATTCCGATTTACGACATGCTTCTAATTGTTGCAAGTAGATTTCGAACATTGAAATATTACATAATATTTATAATGATCATATATGAACATGCATATATATAAGTATGTATATATAATTTGAATAACTTCAACGATTTGGGTTTCTTTTGCTTTTGTTTTGTGCTTAGAACTAAAAGTAAATTTGCGTCTCAATAAACATAATTATTTCATTTTTTAAAACATTTCTCTGTTCATTTTTTTAAACATTTTTTTTTTTTTTGCTTCTTTTTAGCGCTTTGCTTGCTTGGTAACTTAGAAAATAAATAATGAAAATTACCGAAAAAGGGAAACGTGAATTCCTTTTTCTCAGCAATTTGCGTTTTTATGATCTGCTGCTGCCCGCCTTAGTAGGCGTGGTTGGCAATGAACAGGGAACCGGAACCGGAACCAGCGCTGCCAGCAACGTATTTGCCCAAAGAGGCATCGCCGTTAGCCTGAAAATTAAACAGAGAAAGAAAGAGAGACAGAGGATGGGGAAAAATGTTAATTAATTTGCCATTAAAACATTACTTTTCAAGTTTCAATATACCCTGGACCCGAGCTAAATGCACAGCCTAAACTTTCAACTTTCAACTTTCGCTGCGATTTTTGGCACTGCTCACTGAACCGAAACCTGAGCAGAAGTTGAAGGTCAGCCTTACCAGGGGCTATTTGCCAAACTTTTCGCATAGACCTCAATCTAGACACCCACACACACACACTTTGGTTGCTGTTTTGTAATTTCAATTTTCAAGTCTTTTAAAGTAAAAAGTTTATTCGATTGCGGTTAATTGCGCTGCAAACTGTGCCAGGCCCAAAGGGACAAAAAGGTTCCGCCTCTTTTTATTATGCCCAAGGTGCTATTCGGGAACGTAATTCCCGTAATTTTGCGTAAGCCTAGGCATCTGAGATATCTGTGTGTGTATGAGTGTGTGTTTGAAAGTTGATTCTAAAATAGCCTGACTGAAATTTGCTTTGTTAAGATAATAAATGGTTACAGTTTGACAAGCACAGGCATTTTGAAGGCAAGTCAGCAAGTTTTGATCATTACAAAAAAAAAAAAAAAAAAAAAAAAAAAGAACTTAGCTAATGCATACAAATTAAAAGCTAACAGTGCAAATTTGAAGAGATAGAAAATTTTGTATCAATAAAATAAATTTTACAGTTTGACAGTCAATAGAAAAGTTTCAATGCAAAACTTAGAAAATCAAGCGTAGTCTTATAAAAAAAATATATATATCTAAATAAAAACTAAACAGAGCGCTAAGTTTAAAATTAGAATATCTATAGTACAATAGATATAGTACAAAAAAAAAAATAATAATAATAATATTAAAAGAAAAAATAAATAATTAAAAATAAAATAAAATAGATCATTCAAATTTTTAAATAATTAATTAAAAATTATTTAGTTTTTTTTTTAATATAATTTTTTCAACATAAATTTATTCGAATTTCTTGTTGTCTTGACTTTTGAATAGTTTTAAATGTAAAAAATGAAATTATATATAATTTCTAGAGTTTTCTTTTTATTATTATTAAAATGCTAAATATAGTTGTAGGTATATAAGGTATAAAGTGTGCAACTCCATAGTCTTTGTGCCGCAGATCTGTGAGGAATGTGTTCGGGTTTGGACTCAGCACAGTTAAACCAATTGGATTCTGATTGCAGCCGTTAGGAGACGCATTTGTTTTGCTTTGTTTTGATTTGCTTTGTGTTTAGTACTTGTGCTGGGCAACAAACAAGCTGGTTGAGGCCGCGAATGAGGGAATCGAACCAGCCACGTATTTGCCTTGGCAGGCGAGTGCATTGGCCTAAGGATTGCGAGGATAAACAGAAACAGAAGAGGGAGAGCAGGAAACGGTTTAGGGATTAATTGAAAAAAGAGCGTGCAAAACGATTTACAAACAAAGAGTGCAACGAGCATAAAATTCATTAATGAAATGAGAAAAACAAATAAGAAATTTATTCAAATGAAAAATGAGTTAAATTATAATATGTATATAGATTAATAAATGCATAGGTTAGTATATTATATTCATAATTTTATTTAGATGATATTAATACAGCAATTAGTTTAGGGCATATGTAGTGAAAAAGATTAGTTGAAATCATTTCGCCCAAATTAATAATTTTATTAGTCATAAGTTTAGATTCTCAATTGCATTTCAGTCTGCATCATGCAAAAGGATAGGTTAGCTTAGGATAGATATTTGGTAATAAATAAATAAGCGCAACAGAGATTATTCAGTACTAAAATATTTATCATTTAATTTTCCAAATATCTTGCAGGTTGAAATTGACAAATATTACGAAAAATTAGAAAGTGCTCATGAGAAGCAATATCACTACGATCACAAATTACAGTTTGGTTCTTCACACTTGGTAAGACGTACGCTCGATAGGACTTTTCGATCATCTAGGTTTCAAGATTCTTGGGTTACAGTTATCCACTAGTCTTAATGAATATATGTCTTGCTCAGCCGAAAGAATTTAGTATTCATGATTATCTATATGAAGTCCTTCATCTCTAGCGGCTCCCTTAACAGAGCCAGCCTTATAACAGCCGTGTGAGGCATTACCATTAGCCTAAGTGAGGATCGATGGGTGAATGGGGGTTATTCAATGATGGGGGTTAATGTATCTTTTCTGCTAGCACCCTACAGCCCCCATGTCTTCACGGACCCAAACTAAAGCTAAGCCCAGACACCATTTAGCCATAACATTTGGCACTCACCTTGGCGCGGTTGATGAGTTCTTGCTGGCCAGCGGCAATGTTTTCCTTCTTGCCACCCCAGGCGCGCAGGACGGAGGCCTGCAGGGCACGACCGTACGAGAAGGTCAGCTTCCAGGGACGGGGCGCTGGGGCATTGTTGATGGCGCTCAAGTTGACAGAGGCCTCCTCCTCGGACTGACCGCCCGACAGGAAGGTGATGCCTGTGCACAGCAAAGAAGCGGTTAGCCAAAGATTAGGAATTCATATGTCGATTTCCTTACCGGGAACAGCGGCGGGCACAGTGCGGCTGAGGGCCGTGACTGTAGCCAGGGCAATCTCCTCGGGTGTGTTCTTCTTGGCGCCCTGGCCAGCGGTGACCATGTTGGGCTTGAGGAGTGTACCCTCCAGGTAGACGTGGTGGTCGTTGAGGGCCTTGTAGACGGCAGCCAGAACGGTCTCAGTGACCTTCTGGGCGCGATCCAGATCGTGGTCACCATCGGGCAGCACCTCGGGCTCCACGATGGGGACAATGCGCTCCGACTGGCAGATGGAGGCATAGCGGGCCAGCACATTGGCATTCTCCAGGATGGCCTGGTAGGATGGGGTGTTCTTGCCGATCTTGAGGACGCAACGCCACTTGGCGAAGTCGCATCCCTCCTTCTTGTACTTGGCGCAACGCTTGGCCAGATCATCGAGACCCTGGGTGGTTGTCTCATCCTCAGAGCCCATCAGGTTGACAACACCAGTGTCGACCTTGATGCCGGGAATGATGCCCTTCTTCTTCAACAGCTGGACGAAGGGAGTGCCATCATCGGCCTTCTGGTACACAGTCTCGTCGAACAAGATGACGCCCGAGATGTTCTCGGCCAACTTATCGTCAGTGGTGAACAGGAGCTGGCGGTAGGCGCGACGGTTCTCGTCGGTGTTCTCAACGCCGATATCCTTCAAGCGCTTGCCCATGGTCGAGACAGACTCATCGGCGGCGAGGATACCCTTGCCGGGGGCAACGATCTTCTGGGCAATCGACCTGAGCTCATCCTGCAGCTCCTTGCTGGGATAGTTGAAGTAGGTGGTCATCTTTGATACTTGCGTAAAGTTCTGAAATGATCCATTTTGAGTTTGATTTTGCGATTTGTTGCGGATCGGTAATTTAATGCAATAAACTGATTGCAACAGTCGATAAGTGTAAATATGCATTTTGATTTAGATTGGCAAAAAACAAAAAGTGCGTTCTCCCTATACTTGGAATTTAGACAATGTTTCGCGATCTTTGATCTATGTGTGCATATAATGGGCCTGCGTTTGACAAAGGCGAATTTTTGACGGCTCAACCAGAAGGTTAATTTTGTAATACAAAAATGCGATATCTGTCCGAATACTCTATATGTTTATATATATAACTAATACTAATACATAACTATCTATCAAAGGGGCTTTAAGGTTTTGAAAGCTTTGCAAATGAACAGCTGTTTTCGATAACTACATCGCTCTCTCTTTCGCACACATTTTCTATCTTTCTCTCGACAGAGAAGAGCGTGAGCGCACGCTCGCAGTTGTCTGCTCTGCTGGCAACATTTCTCACGCATATACACAAAATGTTGCGTTGAAGAGCGCTATCAATAATGTTGCCAAGCAGCATTACTGCCGACAATGTTGCTGAGCAGAGTTAGCAGAAATGTTGTGAAATTTAAGCAAATCGCTGAAGCTATAGGGGTATAAATTATGAGTTTTATCCACTTCCATTGGTCTCACTTCTTGTATAGCTTCTATTCAGAAAACAAAACTACCTATACACATGTATATAGCATACATAAAATGTTGCATATGCCCAAGCGATAATGTTGCAAAGGCAGTTGTAGTCTTGTTAAAAGTTGTATTGAAATTCACTTGATAGTCATTTATTAATGGCATTTATGTGAACAATTTAATTGTCATATATACTGTCTATATACAAATTAAACTACGCATATATATTTATGGCAATACACTCTAAATTCAATTTCGCATAAATTTAATAGATGAATTCAAGGTTGCTTAAAGGCTGAGCTATATTTCACAGTTTCACAAGAATAGCTGCCCTATTGCAGCACACTTTGCTAATTACTTAGCATTAGTCACTAATCGCACAGTTCTTTATTTAATTTATGTTTTTTTTTTATTTGTTTTTTCTCGGACGGATCAACCAACCTCGACAATGCTTTCTGAGCAACTGAGCCAAGACCCGACTGCGAGCTGAACTGCAGCCTCGTCTGATGTAATCAGAGCGCTAAGCGCGGCAATTCAGAGAGGGCAAATGTAAGACTCATTTCGTCGGAGAATGAGTAGGGAAGTAAGCGAGAGGGCGGTGAGGTGGGCGAGGGGAAAGGGGAGGGGTTCCATGGGAAGGGGGAAGCAGCGGGTCGTGTTGTATATGTGAGAGCTGTGACGTTCACTTTCACTTTCGCTGCGTGACGTGTGCGGCGCATGCCTAAAAACTTTGACATTGAACAAGGTCAGAGGCAACATGTTGCCGGGGCGAATTTGTGACGTGTTGCTTACGAAACGGTTAAAAAATCGTAAAGCGCGTGTGGCACATGAGCTGAGAGTGAGTAAAAGAGAGAGAGAGAGAGAGAGAAAGAGAGGAAATTAAGACGAGTAAACGAGAGAGAGAATGGAATAGTAAAAGAAAAAGTTTTAGATACGATGCTTGACTTGTTTGACATTGAAAAGCACGCACTACCGCAAAAAAAGGCATACAATGTATATATATACAAAGTATATAGGTATATAGGTAGGTTTACAAACTGATTAGAGCTCTTTAGTATCAGTGCAATAAACTGCAGTAGAGCATTTGTCGACTTGGAAATATATGAGCTATTTAGGAGTTGCACTTGACACAATTGACTATATATATACAGCTATAAAGGTCTGTTTTCTTGGCTTGGTTCACTTTTTTCACACACCTACGCTAAACGACTATCGATTGAAGACTGAAATGTAAAATCAAAGAAGAGACTAGTGATAGCAGCAATACAAGATAAGCGAGATAGAACAACATAAATTCTTCTATCAGAAAAACACACAAGTAAATGTGTGCGTGTGTGTTTGTGTGTGATTGTGTGTGATTGTGTATTTATAAAAATAAAATAGACACATGTGCACACATATCACATAAAGGCAGCAGCTTCGAATCGAAAACAAGTTGATAAAATGACGAAAACAAAAATACAAAATGAAATTTTTCGAAAATTATGGAAACTTTGGAAGCATCGAAATCGTCTGCTGCCTGCGCTGTTGTCAGGCGGTTTTAATATTTAACCTTCGACTAAAAAATAAAAACAACCAAACGAGCCCCCCGCCACATTTCATGTAGAGAATATGCGCTATGGTTTTGTTATCGCCCAGCGAGACTGGTTCAGGATGTTGTTGGAGCGGCTCGTGTGTGCAGCGGGGTATCAATAACAGGTCCGGCCTCCCAGACAAGTAGCAATAGGTCAAAAGAACATAAATACGAACTGCGTCAGCAGCTCCCAAAAGAGGACTTGGCACACAGGGCGAGGTACAGCTGGGAGTGAGTAAGATGGGGATAAGAAAAGAGAGAGGCAGTGAACGAGAGAGAGGCAGAGTTGTAAGGGCGTTATATTGAGAATGAAGAGAATCAGCTGTAGTAAGAAAAATACAAATAAACTAAGCTGAATTATAAATGATATACATATATTTTTGTTTTTGCTGTAGATAACATATGAAACAACAATATTCAAAATAGCTTTCATTCACAAACTGGTTTTTGCGCATTTAAATTTAAGGGTAGCTAGCGTGATTTTTTAATAATTACCTACACGCTTCATATACTCTTTCTAAAATACTCTTAATATGTATACTTCTCTTGCCCCCTCTCATTCTCTCACTCTCCCTTCATTTCCTCCCTTCCCATGTTAAGACAAATTTTCCAAAGAAAAGAACAAATATTCCTTTCTCCCTCGTCCCATCTCTCTCTTTCCCTCTAATCTCTTAATTGTTATCATGTGGAGGAATGAAAGGTTTCTCACATTCGAAAGGCAAATGTCAATTGACGATGTCAATAAACAAGCAGCAATGACAATATTTAATTGAAAACTAAACGAAAGCTAATGAACAGACGCAAGGAGACAATAATACATGATCGCCTAATTTACATACATATATGCATGTGTATATGTATGTAGGTGTGTATTCGGGCACATAAGACTTGTGTCAGCTATTTATAAAGCAACTTGCAGTTGAAGCGCTGCCAACGTGCGAACGAGCCGCAGAGTGAAAATCTAGTTAGACTGGGTGTAGGGGAGGGGGTGACGGGCTTAGCCAGTTAGACCGGCAATGCAATAAGTAGCACCGTTATACGATAGCTGAGTGCGTACTCAAGTTTCTTATCAGCATTCAGTTGCATAGGTCAACGACGCGTCGTTTGCTGCGATAAGCAAATGGACGCAGTAGAAAGTTCAAGAGGAATTCATAAAATGAATGTAACTCATAGCCAATAAGAAATTCATTCTAATGAGAAAAAATTCCAGTTTAACAAATTGCACACACACATACACACACGCAGCAAACTCCGAGAGCTTTCTGTAACTTTTTTTCAGCTGAATGAAACTACAAAAAAACGATTACGAAACCAACTTGGGTTGAGAACGAAAAAGCCTTGCACTGATATAACCAGATTACGAACTGCACTTATTTTCCTCAATTGCTCTTATTTAATTTATATTTATTATTTTATTTTGTCACACACGTTTGCACAGACACACACTCACCGATATGGAAAAAGAAACTGTGTTTACGGTTGTTTTGCTCCGCTCTCTGCTGTTTGGCTACCGGCTGGCTCTGCTGCTGCTGCTGCACTGGAGTTGAGTTGGCGACGCTTTTATTTTCGGCCCGCGAGAAATTCCAAAGCGAAATAAGTAAAAGACAGCCGAGCGTAGGCAAGCGAAACGTCAAAAGGTTGTTTGGAGGTCGTACGGTGTTGTCAAATAAACGCACAGCTCTGTGCCTAAATGCGAAATACCAAAAAGCATTTAGTATCTTAAAGCTAAAGGTTAAGCTTTCCCACTGGTTTATGAACTTGTTGCGTTAGTGCTTCTGTTGAGCTTACACTGCTTTACATGGTCGTTTTACTGCTTGCATAGTACTGCACTGCTTGCTGTGCTCTGCTTGTGGCGCTGCAATTTGAATGTGGTAATTAAATAAAAAGAAGCTAAGCAATTACATATTAAATAATCATATTATTTATTTAAAAAATATATAAAATAAAATGAAGAAATGAAATAAACTTTGAGCTATTATTAATTTTTTATTAATCATTTAAAAAAAAGTATAATATTATCATTTTCGATGATACGCGTTCCATAAAAGAAATGAGTAAATCCATACTGCCATCCAAAAAGTTTGATATTTAAATTTAAAATTGAAATTATATAGTGACCTTTCGGTAAAAAAAAAATAAAATAAAAATTATAATTGTTCCACGGTTTTTTTTTTTTTTTTAGCTTTAACTTTGTGCAGATCAATATTATTTATATATGTATTATAAGGTGCAATCACTGGACTCGTGAACAAGCACTATGCAGTCGCTCTTTTCTCGTTTTATAAATTTGTTTACTCCTGTAAAGTACTTCATTAGACAACATTAGACAAAATGAGTCTAATTGAGCTAATTATGATGCGAATATAATAAGCTGATCCTGTGCATCGTCTATTAACGCTATTCAATATACGCAACCAAACAGGTATTATTCAAATTATGATAAGCAGGATTTCGGTGTTGCAAAAACGAATTGTTAAGGATAATATAGAAGCCCACACAAAAGGCTGGCCATTAAGCTGCATGCCCCCTTTGGTTGCCATTGTAAACACTAATAACAATAACAAAGCACTTGAAAACATGCCTGACCTCCAGCAACGCAGAAGGACTCAAGTCAACAGCCTAACGGAACAGCTGACGGAGCGAGCCACAAAATTCCCAATATTCCTTATTCGCTCATTTCGAACAGTGAATGAAAGAGACTCTCTCTTCGAGGCAGACTCGCTCCACTTGTTTTTCGCGTAGTGGGTCAAACTAGTGGTAAAATGCTAATGAAGGCCAA